CTAAAGAGGGGTCCGGGGAGCTCCGCCGGAAACTGTTTAAAGGCGTCAATTAATTACGTCAACAATTTTTAAGCAATTTTTAAACCCCTCCCCTTGTCAACAACTGTCAAACGTTCAATGACCCCCCCCCCCTATTTAATTATGTCAACATTTGCTAACCCCCCCCCCCCTTACACACAAAAAGGAATTATATTATAGGCCTAAATAAATTTATAAATACATTTTACTTTGTGTAGATCTATTTTAATGATAATTATCAGATAATAAAATTGTAGGGAAACAATTTCATTAAATCTTTAGCTTGTTAATCAGCAAGTTAAACAATTTTTACACTTAAATTTTATAATGCTGAATCAATTGAAAGGTTGTTAAAGACTAAATATCATTGTTTTTGGTATAAATATGATTATTGTCAGTAAAGCTGACAATTATAATATAGTTTCTAGCTGCTATCATCTTCCCAAGGAGTAGCCAGGTTCAGGGGTGGACTGGGCCGCCGGGATACCGGGAAGATTCCCGATGGGCCGCTAGGACTTGTGATATAATAAAAATAAAAGTCATGAAGATAGGGCCACTTTTTGTTTTTTTCCCTAACCGCTTTGATTTTTTTCCCGGGCCGCTTGAACTCCCCAGTCCACCCCTGGCCAGGTTTGCTCTATCGAAACAATTGGCATCAGTGACATCATTTGGGTAGGTCAGGGGGGGGGGGTTGCCCCCACCCCCTAATTTTAAGGTTTTATTTAAATTGCTAATGTACTGTGGCGCCTCCAGTAATAAACAACTTAACAAGCCGACCAAGTTTTGGTTTTCCCTACCCCTGAAAAAAAACATGAAATGACGCCCCTGATGGGCATAGTCTATAGTAGATGATTGATCGTTTTCATCCTGCGCCACTGATATACCAGACAAGTCAACATCACCCTCATCTAACCATTCAGCACTTAAAATAGAAGCATTGTTGGTATGAGCAATAATTGCCATAAGCTCTCTCTATCTCATTGCAGCTACTCGCATTGGTCGAATCCTTTTTTGTTGAGGAGCAGGTGCTAATTTCTTATGATCAATAGGCCATTGTCGGTTCTGTTGAACATGCTTTTTTTAATATGACTTTTGATGAAAATTGATGTTACAGATGTTGCAAATCCGTTCTAGCAGCGATGTTATTACTGTTCTTCACGTTACATTCACCAAGTTCTCAAAAAAATCGTATTCCTACTCTATCAATATCATTTATCTTGACTGCACACGACACTTGAACCTTGTCCTTGTTCCATACCTGCAACTAGAGGCGTAGCGTGGTGGGGGCAGGGGGGACAGATGTCCCCGGGCGCCAGCTAGTTAGGGGCGCCAAAATGCGCTTTGATATTATTTTATTGATGAAAATAATGGGTTTGTGAGTTGAAAAAAAAGAAAAAGGGGCGCTAAAAATGGATCTTGTCCCCGGGTGCGAATCTTGTCCCCGGGCGCCAAACACCCTCGCTACGCCACTGCCCGCAACAGAATCCACAGGTGAAGAGAGGCCAACTTTTGACTTCTCTTGCGCTAACAATGTGTGCTAACATTCTGACCAGCCATCTGCAGTGCACAGACACACATTCAATAAATCTTATATTGTAAAAGCCTACAAATTATATGACCATTTACATTCAATTACACTTATAATTTTTTTTAAAATAATGTAATAACCAGTCAATTTTTAAGATTAAAATTTTAATAGAGAAAACATTACTATTGACGTCAATTAATCTACCCCCTCCCTCCCCCTCGTCAACAACTGCCAAACATTTCAAAACCACTCCCCCCCCCCTTATTTTGTTGACGTAATTAATGGACGCCCCCTTATTCAAATATACTCATTTTTAACTAGTTTGAGTCATAGAAAATCTTTTTACATTGATCTTCACTTTTGTAATTCCCCCCCCTCGTCAACCACCGCCAAACATTTCAAACCCACTCCCCCCCCCCCTTATTTTGTTGACGTAATTAATGGACGCCCCCTTATTCAAATATACTCATTTTTAACTAGTTTGAGACATAGAAAATCTTTTTACATTGATCTTCACTTTTGTAATTTAATTTAAACTCTGAGGCATATCATAAAAATGAAAACAATAATTTTGCAGTGAATACTTATTTATTTATACATATAAGATCTATGACAGGAACACTGTCGTTTACGCAGTGTCGGCAGAGTAGTGCAAAGAAAAAAAGGGGGTGGGGGTGGGGCAACAGTGCAGCCATCACGCGAGCCCACATCACTACTGGCACTGGCTACACGCTAGCCAAAATATACACTTGAAGTTATATTATAAATTAGGAAGTTTTAGTGATTTGAAAATGTGTCTGATGCTAGAAACGGGGCATTTAGGCGTCACGAGAGACTTTTTCGGGACACCGGGTACGATCGTGAAGAAACGGGACAGTCCCGTTTTTACGGGACGTTTGGTCACTCTACCTTAGGGTGTTATAAAATTACGAAACTCTGTTTTGATAACTTAGGTGCTTAATACATTCTTGCTTCTCATGAGAGTCCTGCGAAAAAAGGGGGGGGGGGCGAAAGGGGGAATTCGCTCCGGGCGGCAATATAACGCAACCATATTTGTCTTTAGATAGGAGTCATCGGACCTTAAACGCAGGGACGTCATTTCAGTGGGCAGTTGGGGGGGGGGGTACTAAAGCTAGACAGTCTTGTTGAGTTGTTTATTACTGGAGGCTCCACAGTGCATATGAATTTAAATGAGAATTACCATCTTATGATTGATGTTTTGATTGTTAATTTGAAATAGCTCATAATTCTTTTTTTTTTCCTTATTTATTTTCTGGTACGTTTGATTTTCTGCTGTCCTAGACCTAGTGAGAATTTTTGTGTTGCAAATTGGGGAGGGGGGGGGGATGCTCCTCCCTAACCTACCCATATGACGTCCCTGTTAAAAATTTGACAAAATTCAAACCAGTTGAGACGCAAGGACAAGGCTGCTAAACCGGTACAATCCCGGCACAACCGTGATTTGGGGAGGGGGGGGGGATGCTCCTCCCTAACCTACCCATATGACGTCCCTGTTAAAAATTTGACAAAATTCAAACCAGTTGAGACGCAAGGACAAGGCTGCTAAACCGGTACAATCCCGGCCAAACCGTGACGCATGTTAAGCCTTCCCTAAAGAGAACTGAATTCTTGAGCTCCCCTATTTGATTAGAACAGGTGGTAGAAATGTCCTGATTGGGGTATCCGGACTGACATTAACGCCACGGTGAAGAAGTCTTTCTCTCAACTAAACCTTATCAGTCTACATGACCAGAACTCTGTGTCAACACTTGGCCACCTCGGAAACAGCACGGAATACTGTGTTGGGCTACCACAAAGTGCGAAAATGGGACTTGAAACAAAAAGAGGGGAGGGGGGTGGCTGGATGCCCCTTCCAAACACTAGACCGTCGTGATGCCGTAGGTATTTGTTCTTGAAAAAAAAAAGGAAATGTTTCAAAAGATATCTACAAATTTAGTTTAAAAGCAACTACAACATAAGCTCATTTGTAAAGCTTGGACAATGACAAATGTGCAAAACTTATAACAAAACGTAAGTCCTGGTGACCCCACAGAATATCAGCCACTTTGGCGTATATACGGTCAGTGCCGACGGGAGAGAGCCAAGACCCCCCCCCCCAAGGCGTATATACGGTCAGTACCGACGGGGGAGAGCNGGGGAGAGCCAAGCCCCCCCCCCCCCCCAACGAAAATCCACAGCTGAAAATGCTACGCCTAAAGCAGTGGTTCTCAGCCTTCCTAATGCCGCAACCCTTTAATGTAGTTCCTTATGTTGTGGCGACTCCCCAGCCACAAAATTATTTTCGTTGCTACTCCATAACTGTAGAGCATATGTGTTATTTGATGGTCTTATGCGACCCCTGGGAAAGGGTGATTCGACCCCCAAAGTGGTCGCGACCCACAGGTTGAGAACCGCTGACCTAAAGGGATACCCCCACCCTCGCGCCAACACCACGCCAGTGCAGCTACACAAAACATCGGATTGTACAAGTGTTGGAAGGGGGGGGGGGGTTCAGTGCGTGCCCTTGGTGCAATTTTCATTTAATTATTTATAGATTAACTGTTGGGTGGACTTGATCTATATTTAGAATATACAGATTTGACAATGCTGCTAATAAGTCTGAAAATTTAAAAGTCTAAGAAGCATATGATTATAACGCTAGAGATCATTACTTTAATTTAGCATGCATTGTAACAGTTTCTCATTTGTCACCAAAACCTAAATTTTCCTCTTTTTGGTGTTACAATTTATCTCACCAACCACCTAAAGCTTAGTTTTGTGGCATGGAAAGACATTCAATAAATAATAATTCATTTAAGAAAACACCAGGTTTCTTTTAGGAAAAAAACAACCGTCCATTCTTATAGCAGAGCCGTAGAAACGACCTTTGGCACATTTTGGACAAAACCATTTTTGGCGATTTTAATAAGGTCATGTATAAATTCGATTTCGTTTTATCCGAATCACATTAATAGATCATAAAGCGAAACCAAGGATACGGTAGGACAAGATATGAGAGCTGTACGAACACAAAATGGATGTTTTTTAGGTACGCAAATTTAAAGCTGGCCATAACAACAAATTTAAGTTTATAAGTATAATTGTCATTTGCATATAGCATATAGATGTGCAAATTGTTATGAGTCATCAGCCAACTAAGTCTCAATCGTAAAAATATCGTTCTATTTTATTTTTTAAATCCTATGTGCAGCGATCACATAATTTCCGCGTTATCGAATTCATTAGATGAAATGCCAAAAACAATTAGTTCCCTCTTAATTCATTGTTTACTTTAATTATCATTCAAAAAAATAAGAGCCCTTGTTTCATTTTAGAGAAATATTTTTTTCCCAAGGGAGGTTAGTATCAAAATTAATATTTTAAGGAAGCGGAAATCACGAGCTTATGGTAACGAGTACGTACTTCCGCATCATCATATGACTGAAAACGAAAATGGTAAGACACAGGCACTGACAATTCTGTGATGAATTAATATGCGTTAAAAGTTGATATATCATCACTTTAATTTGTGTTGCATTGAATTCAAATAAAGTAGCATATATCTTGTGCATGCTAATTAATTAAAGCACTGGAACAACAGATACATTTTTTTGCCGGCGTTATTATAGTGTCAACTAGATTAAATTATTAGGACTTTCGCTGCTCATCATATGCACTGGTCTTAATCTTGGACTCAGTTGAAAGATAAAACTTCTACTTGTTGCTAGTGTGAAGTTACTCTTACCATGGTATAATCATGTGTACAGTAATTGTTTGTTGTAAAGCTTTTAACTAGTTTTATTTTCAACTTAAAAAGTTGTTTAAAGGGGGACTTTGTAAAAACCTCTAGTGACCCCAGACATCAGGAGTGACAAAATAAGTCCATTGGCAATGGACTGGTGACAGGTCACAGTAGAAGAGATAAGCAATAACAAGAATTTATCTAACTTATTTTCACACTGTATTATTTTTTAAATCAGTCTAACAAAGATCCCTTTTACTTTTAGACAAAGCAATAATTTTTAATATAGTACAGTATAATTTAATATTAAAAGGCCTAGGTCTATAAGTAGGCAGCTTTAGTTAGGCCTATACTTGTATGTCTTTGTATTGACCTTGATTGTCTGGAGGCATCTTGTTTTAAAAATTCTAATGCTTTATTTGCATAGCATTTTCATTTGACAGTTTAAATAATTTAAGATTCACTCATGATAATCAGATGAACTTAAATAATACATTATTTGGATTTTATTTCACTTAATTAAACTGATTTTTTTAGAGAAAAGCTTTTTGAGTTTTTGCCTCATTTTACATTATTAAAATACCTAAGCATGAGCCAGACTTAATTTAAATTCTACTTTAGTTTTAATTTTAGGGCCTAATTTTTATTACTCTGCCTCTTGATATATGAATTATAAATTATAGTGATTTATTTATTAAAAATTTTGTTTACATAGACGTCTGAAAGAGATTACACAATGCAGGCTTTGATGAAGGTGGGTGATGCAGAGAAGGAGAGTATGTATGGATACATCTATTCAGTCTCTGGACCTGGTAAGCACTTTTATGAATTGGCTACTCCAAACAAAATATTTTAGTTTTTTTACATTTAAGTTATTTTTGCTAATCCCATTGTTTAATAATTTTACATTTGACCTTGATGTTACCTTTAGGTAATTTATATGGAAGATAGTTATTCTACAACTTTTTACAATATTCATTTAACAGTCGTTACAGCCCAGCACATGGCTGGTGCAGCTATTATGGAGCTTGTGCGTGTCGGTCACTCTGAACTGGTAGGAGAGATCATCAGGCTGGAGGGTGATACAGCTACCATTCAGGTCTATGAGGATACATGTATCTTTTATTATGTTTATTCATATTAGATCTTTGACTACATGGACCAAGCATCATTTGTGAAACATAATCTGTAAATGAAAATTTTAGCGTTTGGGTAGTGCACATTCTATTACTGAAATCTTTTTAATAATATAGTTATTAATTATACACCCCCTTTTAATTGTATATACTTGATCTGCATTAATTCAAAAAGAAAGTGTTAACCATTTTTAGTTAGCCTATACTTTTTGTTACATTTAATAATAAAACACATTATTCTTATGTAAGGGTAAACTTTTTTTTAAATCTAAAAACATATTTTGCATTTACTTCTCACCCAAAAATAATACACAGATTTGTTTAGAAAAATTAAAGAAAATACAGGTGAAAAAACATTTGGCACACAGTTTATGTAAGTTCCCTATTAGGTTGTCTCCATTATATTGCAGTTTGCAGTGTGGTACCAGATTGTTTTTAAAGCAGGATTTTTTTAACTTAACCGTTTCATAACATAAAACTAATTTGCTTAACTAAAACCAGCTGGTGTAACTGTTGGTGATCCAGTATTGAGAACCAAGAAACCTTTGTCCGTAGAGCTTGGGCCTGGTCTCATGGGCAGTATTTATGATGGTGAGTTGCTGATTTCTTATCAAGATGGCAATAAGCAGAATTAATTTTGTAATGCACAAACAAGTTTATCTTTTTTAATTCTTTTGGTATGAATAATTTGAGATCAGGCCATTTAATATTTAAATTGTTTTTTCAGGTATCCAGCGTCCGCTGGAGGACATTAGTGACCTAACGCAGAGTATCTACATCCCTAAGGGCATCAATGTGCCTGCTCTTGACAGGAACAAGAGTTGGGACTTTGAGCCACTAAATGTCAAAGTGAGTAGACTTGAGTTTTCAGTATATTATTCAACTATTCAAGTTGGACTGGGTGATTAAAATTTGTTATGAAATGTAAGCAGGGGGGAAGCAAATATGATAGCAAATAACACAAGTGAAAATGTTAAAACCCATAATCATCTGAATGGTTTAAAAGCAAAACATGTCTTTAAAAAGTTTTTTTTTAAATGAGTGTAAGCAGGAATTTAGATTAGCTCTGCCCCGGACAAACACTTGTCAGCTATGCTTCAAGCTCCATCAATATTGAAATGGGAGGAGAGGTGGTTGAGGGGGCACTAAGGGTTTAAATAAATGCGTTTTTTATTGTCAGTAACCCATCTTATTAACTAGGTAATAGAAATGCATGTACCAGCAAAATAGCTTTAGAATAGTGGGGGAAACATAACAGGGTTCTTCTGAGCTTTGTTTTCTTTTTGGGACTTCTGCCCATTCTTATTCTTTTCTTATATATATATATATATATATATAATACTGATATACTTATATGAATCTTTCTTTGTACTGAGGAAGGCATTTTGAGAACAGTGTGAATTACCATTTTGCGTTATCATAATTAAAGCTTAACATGTATTGTTTTATTTTCACAAATTTTTTGTGTCTCATTATTTTAGTGAGATGAGTAGGGGCAACATTGCTATTAGAAGAGTGGGCAACATGGCTTGTAGAAAAATAGGACATCAATTTAATCACATTGATTTTTTATTTTTTTTTAATTTAAAAGGTTCAAAATCTATGTATACATTTATTTTTTAATTAATTTTAAATACATTTTTGAGCTCGGAGCAGTAAGAAAGAAATTTTACTACCTCCGCTCCAGAAGTGAAGGGCTTATGTAAATATCATTTAAATGAATTCAGTTTTTTTAACTACACGTCTTAGATATTTAGGATTTTTATATATTTGTTTTAATAAACCATACAGAGCCTTAAAGTTTAAATCACCTCACTGTGTATCTTAAATGTCATGTTGATATCCCCACAGGTCGGCAGTCATATCAGTGGAGGTGACATCTATGGTATTGTCTATGAGAACATTCTGGTCAAACATAGAATAATGTTAAGTCCTAAATCCATGGGCACTGTCACGTGGATTGCCCCTAAAGGCTCTTACACTGTTGGCGTAAGTACTTTACTTCCTACTACAGGGTACGCCAACTTAGGAAAAAAAAAAAATTTATTCGGATGGGAGAAATGATTGAGTAGATTGGTTACGCTTTCATAAGATTGATTGCTACCATGATTTTGCTAAATAAACCTGGATTTGATAACACTACCGTCAATTAAAGGTAAAAAAAATTATTCTTATTAAAAAGTTATCAATTTAAAAAATTAAAAAATTTAAACCACAATTGAAAAAAATAGGCGACTTCAACGGGCAAGTTATTCTGTTTTGAAATTTGGATGTACCCTATAACTTTTAAAAAACACCTTATGAGAGTAAATTTGAGAACAATGCAAAACATAAGTTAAGTTTAATAATACAATTTCATTGTTGTGTCTACATATTCATATACCTAATTATCTTCCCAGGAACCTATTCTGGAGACTGAATTTGATGGTGTCAAGACAAAGCATAGCATGATGCAGGTGTGGCCTGTGCGTCAGATGAGGCCTGTGACAGACAAACTGGCAGCCAATTACCCCCTTCTGACTGGCCAGAGAGTGTTGGATGCCCTCTTCCCGTAAGTCTGAATCGATGATTGAATGAAATCTGATATTTATTGACACATTGTAAATTTCGTTATTTTTAAAAATATTTTTACATGCATGGTAATTTGAGCAAAGACAAGAACACATTTTTTTTCCATACCTATTCATTTAACTTAGTTTCAAATTTCCAAGTCATTTTTGTGAACCAGATATAAAGTTTGATATGCAGCTTACTTACTCTTCTGAGACATTAAATTGAGACAACCAGGGGGGCGGATGAAGTAATATTATCTTCTTTAAAACACAGCTGTGTACAAGGAGGTACCACTGCCATTCCTGGGGCTTTTGGATGTGGTAAGACTGTCATCTCACAGTCCCTGTCCAAGTTCTCCAACTCTGATATCATTGTCTACGTTGGTTGTGGGGAGAGAGGAAATGAAATGTCTGAGGTGTTGAGAGATTTCCCTGAGGTAACTTGCATTAGATTTGTTTTTTTTAAAATTTAAATTTCAACATTTATTTTTCAAGTTGGTTGATTTTGTGTGGGGAAAAATCATTGAAGTATATTCCTTTTTCTTACTTTAACCAGCACTGTTAGAAAAAATGTTTAAATATTTTTTTTCTCTTGAACAGCTTACAATGGATGTTGAAGGTAAACAAGAAAGTATCATGAAGAGAACAGCTCTTGTCGCAAACACCTCCAACATGCCTGTTGCTGCTCGAGAGGCTTCCATCTACACTGGTTAGTTTAAACTAAGTCATGTATTTTTAAAAAAAAACTGCTTTGATATCACACTTTTACAAGAGGTACAACTGAGAAAGTCATCAACCGCTATTTGAGATTGGGTTATCCCATCTCTAATAATTTGGTAGTAAAGAAAAAAAATGTAAAAATTTATTTGCAAGGACTCTCTTTTATTTTCATGTGGTTGGTGTGTGTGTGTGTGGGGGTGGGGGGGGGGTGTTCAAGATTGTTAAAATGCCTTTTTAAATTTATCCCAGTTAAAATGCTCATTTTAATTTTAAAAAATTGTTACTTTGATCTGTATCTTATATTGAAGAGATCTTACATTAGTTACAGTTAACTTAATATTTTCCAGGTATCACTATATCTGAATACTTCAGAGATATGGGTCTCAATGTATCCATGATGGCTGATTCCACATCACGTTGGGCAGAGGCTTTGAGAGAAATCTCTGGTCGTCTCGCTGAGATGCCTGCCGACTCTGGCTACCCTGCCTATCTGCCTGCTAGATTGGCCCACTTTTATGAGAGAGCTGGTCGAGTCAAATGTCTGGGTAACCCCAGCAGAGAAGGATCAGTCAGTATTGTAGGAGCGTAAGTATCCTTATAAAATCAATAGTTTTAATCAGATTTTGTATTTGAAAACAATATTAGGTTTTTAATTTACTGAAATTGGTTGCGGGGAATCCTTAAATAATTTACCAATCGATTGTCTAATTTATAACATTAATTGGAACAAATTAAAATTAGTTATTGGCAAAATACTCAAATTAAAAATGGAACCGTCACCGTGGATGTAACTTTTTTCTAAAGATGGACCTATCACTGTGGATAGGACTGTCCCTGTTGATGCCCACGTTGTCACATACTAATAGGACACAACAGGTATGCAAGCACACAGCTAAAAAATGCTTCTTTTTTTTCCTCCTTCACAGAGTATCTCCCCCTGGTGGTGACTTCTCTGACCCTGTCACCACTGCCACACTTAATATTGTCCAGGTGTTTTGGGGTTTGGACAAGAAGCTTGCCCAAAGAAAACACTTCCCCTCCGTCAACTGGCTCATCTCTTACTCCAAGTATGACAGAGCTCTGGATGAATTCTACGAGAAGTCATACCCTGACTTTGTGCCACTTAGAAGCAAGGTAAAGACCAAAAGCAATCCTCAGTGGCATTGTTTGGCTCTATTAATTGGTATTTAATATGTTATCTTATTTGCTTCAAAGAAATTTTTCTTCAATGATGTTTGAGAATGGATGCAAATTTTTTTCCTCTATTTATTTTTATCCAGATGTTAAATTATATTATTTTTATTCTTTATATTTTCATTTGTATTGCATGATAATTATTATATGGATTTTTTTTTAAAATGAAGGTTTCATTTTGATTATTTTTTTAACACTAACATAAACAAAAATGAAATTAAATTTATTTCAGTAATTTTGTTTGATATTAATCCTTAATTTATCTAAGATTTTTCCTCCTAACAAATTCTTTAATTTAAAAAAACAACTGATTGGACAAAATGTAATGTCTTTCTTTTTCATTTCAGTGTAAAGAAATCTTACAAGAGGAGGAAGATCTTTCTGAAATTGTACAGCTTGTCGGCAAGGTAACATTTCTTGTTGATAATAAGTTCATGACCAGCTGAAAGAGGTATAGGCTTTATGGAATTGTAATAGTGATCTAGAATCTTTGTTAAATAAACTTTCTTATGCCCCATCCGAACTGGAAAGAAATGGTTTGTAAATTTTTTTGTTCTCTTGTTGACCTACAGGGTTCACTAGCAGAGTCTGATAAAATCACCCTAGAGGTGGCCAAATTGATCAAGGATGACTTCCTGCAACAGAATGGTTACACTCCTTACGACAGGTGACTTTTGCATTAATCTTTAAAATTTGAGACATTTTTATGTCTTGTTATCCCTTACTTCAGGATCTTTAGTCAGTGGATAATGGTGTAAAGGGCACAAATAGGGGCAACTTCTGGGGCACTTAAAAGCTATGGGGAAACATCAAATATTTTGTTTCAAGTTTGCTGTATCTAACATGAAATAGTCTTTAAAAAAAAAAAAACTACTTTGTATAGCTTTTCATGTGCTTATTACCAGTATCTTATGTCAGTGTTGTGCAGTTTGTAAAGTTCCCCAAGTGCTCTCTATTTTGGTGATGGCACACCTATCTTTACTGTGCCTTTAAATTGGAAATACAATTCAATAAACTTACTATTTAATCTGTTTATAGGAAACCTCTTTAAAGTTCCTTTAGATTGAAATTACAATTCAATAAACTTAACTATTCAACTTGACCAGATTCTGCCCATTCTACAAGACCAATGGAATGTTGAAGAACATTATTTCTTTCTATGAAATGGCTCGCCATGCGGTTGAGACAACAGCCCAGAGTGACAATAAGGTCACCTACGCTATCATCAGGGAACAGATGGGTGGGATCATGTACAAGCTTAGCAACATGAAGTTCAAGGTCAGTACATTAAATATAAAAGTGGTGGTGGGTGTAACCTTCATAATCAGTTTTAGTGGTTTTTCTATTAATCTTTTGATATAAATCTACTTGTCTAAATATATCAATAAAAAATTGAAGTTGTAATTTTAGGGAAGTTTGAAAAAGGTTTAATATAGTTGCACACTTATACTTTAAATCCATGTAGCGCATACAGTATTACAGGTTTACATCTATCCACATGACTTTTCCCTCTTCTATGGTGAAAAATAAGGTTATAAAACAGTAGTACACGCAATAACTTTTTCTAGACAGATGATATTTAGCATAATTTACAGATGAATTATCTAAAATTACATCCAAATGGCTCTCAAATTTTATCATTTCTGTCAATTTTTTAAACAAAAATACTATTGATCGGTATTTAAAATATTCAGAATTTAATGGAGCAAGCAACTTCCATTGACAAGTTGTGATTTTAACATGTGGGCAGCTAACGGAAAATTATTCATAATTTTTCTTGTGCTTATGTTGTATAGATGCCAATCAGCATCGAGTGGATTTAAAGGTTAAAAGGTGTTGAGGTTGATCAGTGTTGTGTGGATGTAGAGTGCTTAGGCTTACCCAATAAATTATGTATTTGCACATTTTATTTTGCAGTGCCATGAATGGAACTATGTCCTTTAGTTAAAACATTCACTATAACTATAATGAAAGTCTCACGAAAGAGCTTAAGTAACATATTGTCAGAGGTCTATTTACCCGGGGACATATGTTAAATTGTAAATATTTTGATTGATCAATTCAGAGTTGGGAAGTATAAATCTCACCGCCAATACTTGATGGTTCATACCTAATTTGCACCTGCCTTACTGTCACATGACTTCTAAATGTTTTTAAGGGCTCTTGTGCTTTTTAAGCTTTTAAATAGCAATCACTTAACTTAACAAAGAGAAAAAGCATTTTTGTAAGATAGCTTAAACTATTATAATAATTATTCCTGGTTGTTGGCCCTGCTCAGGAAAGATAATATAGTTTAACCCCTTTTAAAAGTTTTTATGGCTAAACTCCCTCCATTAAATAAAGCTTTTGCTGTAAAAAAGAATAAGGCGTTAGTTCAATTTTTGACACAATTTATCCTTTATTATTTTGCACGGTACTATAAGCTTTGCCCTATTGTAATAACAGTTCCCAAATGGAACTTTGTGGATTTATGGAAGGCCACCTGGAATCATTATTATAGATTATGCACTTCTTCCTGCATTTTACATGCGAAATGTGGTTGCATTGTCCCAAATAGTATTAGTGTATGTGCATGAGAGTTTAAAATCACTTGGCTGTAAAACTCAAAACAGTAATTTTTAAATTTTTTTTATTTGCTGGCTTAGTTTGTTCTATAAATATGCCTTGACTTTTCTAAATTGTTTCTCTCTGGGTAGGATCCTTACAAGGACGGTGAAGCCAAAATCCAAAAGGAGTATGATGAGCTCCACGAGGAGATGCAGCAAGCTTTCAGCAATCTAGAACTATAAACAGATCTAGCATCATCCCCCGCCTGTGGTCGCCTGGTTCTATTTCTAGATGTCCTTATTAGTCTAGCTGTTAATAAATGTTTCCAAGAAGACAGAAAAAAAAACAAAGGAAAATAATACAAATGTGAATCATTCTATGAAATTTGATGTAATTTTTTTTTTTAAATTGAAATTCAATGTTTCTGAACGTGTAGAGAGAGAGTTTTGTTTTCATCATTTATAAAAAGCATTAATTGTCAATGATTTATTTTTACCTAAAAGAAACTTAAAATAAAAGGTTTGGAAACCTGTAAATCAAATTTCTGAATTTAACCCCCCCAAAAAAATGTAATTCTCCCCTTTTGTTACAGTTAGTGCACAATTAAATTTAAAAATGCTGTGGTTGTTTTTAACAAAACATCTAAAAATACAAAACAATAAACTGTGATTTTTCTCACTTTTTCTTTTTCTTTCTCCATTAACATTTTGTTGAGACAGGGTCTCATCATCACCCTGTCTCATCTTCTCATTTATTCCTTTGGCATCACAATTGACATGTGTAAATATTTATAGTCTGAGTATCTAGATGCTGTCATTTATCAAATCTAATTATTGTATGGAGAATGTATGTTACTATTACATAAACAGTAATCATGTATTTATTGGAGCGCTTTTTTTAAAAATTGTAAAATGTTGTATGTAACTTAATTATTGATCATCCTTTCACTGTGTGTATGTGGACTGAGGCTCTTTCAAAACAAGGGTAAAATAAACTCACGAAACCTGGAACATACTTTTTTCTCCCCAAAAAATGTTAAACCATGACAATGAAATGTTTGTGCGTCTCAAAGCTGACCCTTATTCCGTGTTTAACACAGGGATGCTTAGGTATGTGTAAACAAACAACTTTTCCTTTATTCAAATAAATAAAATTGTGTTGGGTTTTTTAAATCACCTTGGTTTTTTTGGGTGTTTTTTTATTTAACAAATTTAATTAAAGGAATTTCTAAAAATTGTTTCAGTGACTTTAATTTGGTAAAGAAATATCTATTTTTAAAAATATAATTAAGAAGCTTTTACTCGATCAAGTTGTGGCGATCAATTGGAGGTCAGACTGCCACCAGTTGTCTTAGCTTGAATCCCCAGCTTATGTATGACCTGTAATTGTTAACTATATTACTGTTAAAATATTAGTCCAGATTTTTTTCACTTGTTTCTTCCTAACTTGAGTGTGTGTGTGTGTGTGTATCTGACTGAGAACTAAGCTTTAGTGTTTGAAAATCATATAGACTTTGGCTCAGCTAAACATTTAATGTAGTAAAACTTGTGTTTTGAGAGTTTAAGTAGATGACCTCACATGGTTCACCTGTATGCACATGAGGTTGTCAATTTTTTTTATGTGATGAGTGACATTCCACATTTACTGTGCATTTTATTGTTATTTTAAAAAAAATATATTACAATGCTCATTTCATAGCAACTGGAATATTAATATTAAATGAATTTATAAATTGATAGGGAAACAAAAAAGACGTCTAGTATTAATAAAAAGAAATAGCTTGTAAAACATTTAGAAGTTATTATTTTTTTTATCGCCATGTGATGTGATATAATGTAGTTTTTGAGTAACAGTAATGATGTGAGAAAGTTAAATATTTTGGCAAACCTTGAGCATAGAGCTCAAGAGAGGTATAAGTGTAGATATAAATGAAATTTTTAAAAAGATATAATTTACTTTGTTGGCATACATGGTCAGTAAGGATGGATTTTTGTGTGACACTCTGGGAGTAAATGGCCAGCATAAAATGTAATGTCTGTTACAATGTGTAAGTTTGTTGCAGGAATTCATGTGGTAGTGTGTGTAGCTATCCTTAATGTAAAACTGTAAACTGGAGATAGTAGAGAAAGTTAATGGCGGCAAACAAAAAAGGTCCATTGCTTAGTTATTGCTTTGGTATCTTTTTATGTCAATAAAAAAAAATATGTTCAAAAAGCAGATGGTCTGTTAATTAGTTGTTGCTATTTGTTGTATTGTATGTGTTGCAAACTTCCTTCGCCACTGTGTGTTTATTGACCTCGCAACCAGACCAATCACGACTGGCCCTCACACACGTGTGTTTATTGACCTCGTTTCACTCGACCAATCACAACTGGCCCTCACAAAAATATTCACCACCTCATGATTAAGGATTATTCCATACATAATATGTCCTTGCTCACAAAACCAGTTCATAACATTGAGTTGTGAAATTTGCTCATTTCAAAGTAACAGCTTAAGAGATGTCATGCAACCTACGACTCTAATAGGCGATAAGGTCTTTCGGATCTTTATGTCGCTTTTATGAGGCTAGAACTTCCTGTTGCTCTAATTAAGCTAGATCTTCGTGTTGCTCTAAAGAGGCAAGATCTTCATGTTGCTCTAAAGAGGCTACATCTTCATGGTGCTCTAATGAGGCTGGAACTTCCTGTTGGTCTAATGAGGCAAGATCTTCCTGTTGCTCTAATTAAGCTAGATCTTCGTGTTGCTCTTATGAGGCTAGAACTTCCTGTTGCTCTAATGAGGCTGGAACTTCCTGTTGCTCTAATTAAGCTAGATCTTTGTGTTGCTCTTATGAGGCTAGAACTTCCTGTTGCTCTAATGAGGCTGGAACTTCCTGTTGCTCTAATTAAGCTAGATCTTCGTGTTGCTCTAATGAGGCTAGAACTTCCTGTTGCTCTAATGAGGCTGGAACTTCCTGTTGCTTTAATTAAGCTAGATCTTCGTGTTGCTCTAATGAGGCTAGAACTTCCTGTTGCTCTAATGAGGCTGGAACTTCCTGTTGCTCTAATTAAGCTAGATCTTCGTGGTGCTCTAATGAGGCTAGAACTTCCTGTTGCTCTAATGAGGCTGGAACTTCCTGTTGCTCTAATTAAGTTAGATCTTCGTGGTGCTCTAATGAGGCTAGAACTTCCTGTTGCTCTAATGAGGCTGGAACTTCCTGTTGCTCTAATTAAGCTAGATCTTCGTGTTGCTCTAAAGAGGCTGGAAATTCCTGTTGCTCTAATGAGGCTGGAACTTCCTGTTGCTCTAATTAAGCTAGATCTTCGTGTTGCTCTAATTAAGCTAGAACTTCCTGTTGGTCTAAAGAGGCTAGATCTTCCTGTTGATATAATTAAGCCATGATATTTCCGATGCTCTTTTAACATAATTAGCATAAAGGAGCATCTGCTGAGGGTCAGGAAAAATGTACTCCCTGCATCCCTTTCAGGCGCGCCTTTGCCATGGCCACCTCCAATGGAAAATTACCCAAGGATAGGTAAATCCTTCTTTCTCCTGGCTGCATTTAAAACATTTGGACCGACATGTCCATTTGAGCCAGATAACACTAATACCCTCTCCTGTGTTTGTGTTCTGTTTCCCTCAGTGCCGGAATTATTTATTAGCTCCATAAGCTACAGCTTAGGGCAGTGGTTCTCACCCTGTAGGTCGCGACCCCTTTGGGGGTCGAACGACCCTTTCCCATAGGGGTCGCCTAAGACCACCGGAAAACACATATACTCTACAGTTATGAAGTAGCAAGGACAATAATTTAATGGTTGGGGGTCGCCACAACATGAGGAACTGTATTAAAGGGTCGCGGCATTAGGAAGGTTGAGAACCACTGGCTTATGGCCTCACAATCTGTTTGGCTATATATTTACCAATTTTCCATGACCAGATGATGTAATTTAAAATGGAAGGGGGACCCCCTGGACTCAGTGAGTCTAAGTCCGCACCTGGTAGGGGGAACCCCTGGACTCAGTGAGTCTAAGTCCGCACCTGGTAGGGGGAACCCCTGGACTCAGTGAGTCTAAGTCCGCACCTGGTAGGGGGACCCCCTGGACTCAGTGAGTCTAAGTCCGCACCTGGTAGGGGGAACCCCTGGACTCAGTGAGTCTAAGTGCGCACCTGGTAGGGGGAACCCCTGGACTCAGTGAGTCTAAGTCCGCACCTGGTTTTCATAGAACCCGGAACAGTGACCAGACCAAGGCGCTGCTGTTATTTCCCATCGGAACATTAGAGTCAGCTGCTCTAACCTCAGGACTGTCATTATGGCAACGTGAAACTCACCATGACGTGTACACGTGGTGCGAGTGTCTATCCGTACCGCTGGAGTGGTTTACAACGTTTGATTGCAGCACAGTCGAGTCATGATGGGGCGAAAAACGTGACGGTCACATAAGATATGAAGCTGTTTCTACTGCATGTAGAGTAGGCTGAATCCTTGATTAAATTAGTTTATCGATAATGTACCAAAGGGATCATAGGATATAGGGCAGTTTGCGATCGCGCACGTATGCATTTGGGTAGGTGGGATGGGGGAGCAATTTGGGGAGCTGTCGTACAAAAAAAAATCTCTCAAATCCCTATTTCCCCCCCTCCTCATCTTTAACAGATACATAATATTGGGGAGACTGCGTTTAAGCTCAGGCTGTATATCACGCTGCACCATTTGTATATGTGTGGCATCCTTCACGAGACGATGGGAGTAGCTACGCAGTCCCACACTTCGACGAGTGGCTCACTAGGCCAATCCTAGAAAGACAATCCCGACTGTATTTCTCACCACGTCTTGTTCTATTATTCTCTTCACCAGGGGGTGTAGGAGGGGGTTGTGCGGTGGGGGCGGCATTTTTTTTTAGCATTTTAGCTACGTCAGTTTATGGCACCCGTTAATCTGACGGGGGGCGAGCCGCTTTGGAAAAAAATAACCCGGATGATGATCGCTGCAGAGTGCAGTCGATTCCGATACCGAGGCCCATCTTCATTGTGTCTAAATCCACAACCAATGTTCGATTGGGGGATACACAAAAAAAGCCCTTAAAACTGTGCTCGGCAGACCTCGGCCAACCAGTGTTTCTTTCAGGCAACTTCTGCCGTGGGCGGGGGTAGTCAGATTTTTTTTTTCTTTTTTTTTTGGGGGGGGTGGGGGGTCAGTGCCAGTGGCCAGCGGCGTAGCTAAGGGGTGGCAGATGGTACGGATGGCCTGCTCGGCAGACCTCGGCCAACCAGTGTTTCTTTCAGGCAACTTCTGCCGTGGGCGGGGGTAGTCAGATTTTTTTTTTCTTTTTTTTTTGGGGGGGGTGGGGAGTCAGTGCCAGTGGCCAGAGGCGTAGCTAAGGGGTGGCAGATGGTACGGATGGCCCCTTGGCGCCAAACTAGTGGGTCTCAAAAAATGAGTTTTGAAGGTATTTAACGGTTGAAAATAATGGGTTTCAGAGTTTTAAAAGGTGGTTGGGTGGAGGGGGGTGGGGGTGAATCTTGTCCCCCTGACGCTAAAAACTCTAATCACGACCCTGATGGTGGCGTAGAAGGGGAGAGGATAGATTGGTCTCCCCAAGTGTCACTTTTTCTTTATATGTTGGTGCCGCATTGTCGGAGACAATCGTGGCAGGAGAGAGTGGCATAAATCTTTGTCCTCCTATGACGGCACTCATACTAGCGACGGCACTATGTTTTGTGTTTGTATCGGTACCAAAATTGGCGATCATTTTCATAGGGAAGTAGGGCAGAAATCGAGGGTGCCAATGAATCTTGAGCTTGGGCAGAGGAGAGGTTTGGGGAGCATTATCCTCAGAATATTTTTTTTATTATTTCAAAATAAAGGGGGGCATTTCGGAGTATATTTGAATTTAATGTTTCTATTTTACTTTTTTATAGGGGTAAGTACATTTCAAATGCTTGGGGGAGGCATTATGGTGCCAAGTGCCATACATACACAGAATTCACTCCAGTTGGTGCGTGCCTCTGGGAAATAATTTGAAAAAGGCATATATTCAACCCCATACTGTTACAGAAATTGAAATTGCTAAAGACAGTCGGGCATATACAAAATGCACTGATGCATTTTGGTGAATGCTTGAATTTTGTGTTTCTTTCAGATAATTTTTAGGTGGTATTTCAAACTTTCGGGTGGGAAGTGCCAAAATCAGCCAAAACAATGACCAATGACATATCTTACTCCGCACCAGCGTGACATAATCTAAATACATTCCAGTTGTGTTAATCTTGAAGGTATGGTTTTACCCTTGCTTATTCTCGCCCCTTCAATCTTTATAGTCCCCAGAATTTTTTTGATAAATTCAAAATCAAAGAATGCGCATTAGCAAATAATTGTATTTATTTTGACAACTCTCTACACTTAATTAGAGGGCAACGGAAGAGATGCAAAAGTTTTTAAAAAAAAATAGAAATAACTTAACCTTAGAACCATCGTGTGAGCCAAGCAAACCCTACGTCTGCATAGGGCCTCGGATATTTTAGGGGCTTAAACAGTGTTTTCTTCCCGGGGGGGGGGGGTTAAGATTTTCGGGGTGGGGGGGCAGTGCCAGTTGGTTTATTGTTGGATCTTGCTGGCTGCCGTCCATGGTTTGCCTTGTAAAAGTTATGTGGTTGGGTGGGTCAATATACCTTGCTGTTCTTTATTTCATAAATGTATTTTATTTTAATGTCATGATTATGTCTCTTTTGATAAAATTTTTATGTACAGTGCGGTGAGCCTAGCCCTAGGCTGGGGTACCGCGCTATATAAGACGTCTTATTACTATTATTATTATTATTACTATATAGTTTGCTCGGGGGGCACTTGGCTTTCCACGGGGGGCACTGCCCCCCCCCCCAAGATATAGCTGAAAGAAACCCTGGGCTTAAACTTAAATTATTATCTTTCAATGCGAGGTGGGGGAGAACAACGCCGAAAACTGTAGCAGGGGGCGGGGCTCAAAAAGTCGAGTGACGGCTCTGCTTGACCTGCCTGAGTTATGCAATAAATATGTTTTTTATATTATTAAATATTAATTTGGTTTTGTTTTGTATTTAAACGATTTTTGGGGTAAAAAAATATCTATAAAATAATTTCCATCACAACAAAATCAATGCTAACATCATTTTACACGTTGAACGCAAATCACAAACAACAGCAACAGCAAACAACATACTTATAATTAATTGCCTTTTCTAAAAACATTTCCAAGTTTTACCAGAGTCA